GGCGGCATTCCCAATGCGTCATGTTAATTTCACCAAGGCTTCGACGACTACAGCTCGCACCACTTGTACGGTTTTTCATAAAACAATTTTCATTGGACATGGTTTTCGAAAAACATTTTTCATTGTAAAACCTTAAAGTAATGAGTTGTTCTTTCTCGTGGAACGAACGTTGCTCTGATACCAAAAGTTGTGACGTTCGAATCTCGTATCCCGTATATAGGATACGCCACATGGACAAAAACCAATACAATAATACCCAACCAAAATACGAGAATTTAAAAACTTTTAATTCAGTGGAATTTGAAACGTTCAACCATTAAATATAAATAACACATGTCCAATATCGTAATTTAACACAACCACGAAAGTCTGGGATCATGGTCCCGAGTTCAATTGCAAATACAAAACCCGTACATAGTGTTGTCTCTCTCAAGCTGTCGTTGTCCAAAGTGTGCTACTCGTACTCCTCGTGATCTGAAAAAGATGAAACCACGAGGGCTAAGCACAACTACTTAGTGAATGACCCGGGTTGAACTCCGGTAAACTCGTTCTCAACGAGAACGGTTTAAAACGATAAAACACAAAATATAACATTCAACTTTAAACATATACTCAAATCCCACAAAGATACAGTCACCATCATGCCCGTATGGCCTCACGCCATAGAGCTAGCCGTAAACCCTAGTCACATCGCATGACTAGGTACGTCTCACACACCCGTCACTTCTCGGGACGTTGGTCATCACATCATACGACAATATTGCCTCAAGCGCTTGTCACCTCGCGTGACTACCAATGTCATTTCGCATGACACAACGGAAATACAACACCACCTTGCCCGTATGGCCTCACACCATAGGACTAGCCATAAACCCTAGTCGCATCGCACGACTAGGAGTACCTCACACGCCCGTTACATCGCATGACGTTGACCGTCGCATCGCACGACAATCATGTATGTATGGCTTCACACCATAAAGTTAGCCGTAAACCCTAGTCACATCTCATGACTAGGAGCGCCTCACACGCCCATCACATCGCATGACGTTGGCCGTCGCTTCGCATAACCAATAAAGTCCGTATGGCATCGCACCACAGGGTTAGCCATAAACCCTAGTCACATCGCATGACTAGGAGCGTCTCACGCGCCCGTCACATCGCATGACGTTGACTGTCGCATCGCACGACATCAAGTATGTATGGCTTCACACCATAAAGTTAGTCGTAAACCCTAGTCACATCTCATGACTAGGAGCGCCTCGCACGCCGTCACATCGCATGACGTTGGTCGTCACTTTGCACAACCAATAAAGTCCGTATGGCATCGCACCATAGGGTTAGCCCTAAACCTTAGTCACATCGCATGACTAGGAGCGTCTCATACGTCCGTCACATCGCATGACGTTGGTCGTCGCATCGCACGACAGTATGGCTTCATGTGCGTGTCACATCTCGTGATGACCGATGTCACTACGCATGACACATCGGAATACAAACATAATCATGCTCGACTCGCATCGCACGAGTGAGCTACAAACATGGCATACAACGTGCATCCTCATCCCCCACTACAATCACGCATATCATGGTATTCGGTCTCCCACCGACCTACCGGTCAATACCATACAATGTTACCCAAACACACAACGAGTCTCTTAAAAGTTGGATCGCACCTCTCAATGTGTGTGGTAACTCGAACGTTCGTCAAAGAGTGGGTTCTGTACCCTGGACCATTCGGACTACTACCTAGACTGGTCGGTCCAGTCTGACATTGGTCCTCGATTCGTCTGTTCTGTCTCAGTCCATTCGGGTGAACCGTTTGGATTAAAAATCAGTCCGTTTAGACAGGAACTGTCAGTCCGTTTGGACTAGGACAGTCAGTCCGTTCGAACTAGGTTCTGCACTTCGTCGTCTTCGCGAAAACAACTTTCTGGTCCGATTTTTGATTGCTCATATCTCCCTCATTTCTTATCTGAATTAAGCCCTGTTTGTTATTAAATGTTCATTGAAATGTCCTCTTTCAATTACAATCAACTAATAATTGAAACACTGCAGTCACACGATGGGAAATGATTTGCATTACTCGTATGTTGACAGGTTCACGTTTTGCGTTTTTAGCTTTTCTTCCATTTTCATTCATTTATATCTCGCTCATTTCTCCACCAAATTATGTCCCGTTTGTTGCTAAGTGTTCATTGAAATGTACTCTATTAATACAAGCAGCAAATTATCGAGATAACACAATCACATTGATGAAATCAAGGTCACACAAACGCAACTCAAGTCACTCTCCTGTTCTTGAATCAGATTCGGTTTGATCTGATTTGGCCGAGATTGAGTGATGTTTCTTGGTTTCTCTGCCTTGGGATCTCCTCTTGGACATCCTAGGGATGTTCCTCTTTAATTCTCCGTGCTCCCTTTTTCTCCTCTCTCCCTCTTTCTCTTCCTCTTTCTCTCTTTCTCTCTTTCCAATCCGTTAGAAATGCGTTGGAATTATCTTTTCCTCTCTTTCCTTCTCTGCAACTCTAGGTCCGAAAATGGTTCTTGGAGCAGGTTGGGCAGGCACTTATGGAGTCTAGGGAGATAAAGAGGATGAAATACAAATTAGGGGATAGCTAGGGTTGCCCACTGTCGGTTTGGTGCGTTTTGGATGGGTTGTGGATCACCCATGTGCGAGAAAGTCGCGCACTAAAGTAGTTGCCGACAATCTGTCTTGTGTAGTCTGTTCGGACTGTCTTTCTGGTCCGATTCCATCCTAGGTATGGATGGAATCAGGTGTCAGATGATAACACCACTCTAGAGCAGTCTCCAAGAGAATCCAGGGGAAAGCAACTAAGCTGAGTGTATCCTCTGTCACCCTGTTATCTCTCTTGATAGAACGACACATCATCTTAAAGCGAGTTAGATGTGTGTTCGGGTCTTCGTTTGGTGTATCCCGGAAAGCATTATTGCCCAACATCTGAATAGTAGACGGATTCAGCTCGAAACTAGATATGTTGATGGCCGGTAGTCGAATACTAACCAAAAGCTTAGTGTGCTTAGGCGTGTTGTACTGAACAAACGTTGAGACAACATTGCCCTCAGCACCATCAGGGAAAACAAGATCTCAGTTGTTCTCCATCTGTCTTCGTTGTCACCGGATGCGTGTAATGGTCCTTTCAAGTTCAGATCAAAAGGTACTAAATCTGATATCCCAGCACTTCTGGTCATGCACTAGAAAAACCTGCGCACCAGACGAAAAACAACAACAAACGAAGACAACATGAGAAATCACTTAAGAAAAAGAAAAACAAAAAGATCCACATTAGATAGAATCTAATCATATTGCCTAAATTATCTCCGGAAACGGCGCCAAAAACTTGATGTCGCAAATCTAAGTGTATAGGATTCAATCAAGTAATAAAATCCTAGACTCAACAAATACCGCAAGTGTACGGATCGTGCGTAGTAGCTAGGGTCGAACACAGGGACAAAAGTAGACAAATGAATCAAATCCAAATTCAAATCTAGATCCAGACGAAATAATATGAGTGTGAGAGTGTAGAAAAGAGAACAAAAAACGGTTGAAAACTATAAATGATAAACACTGCAGGTTTCAGGATTGTTTGACATGCAATGGTCTTTTGAAAGATGCAAACTCAGTGGTTTATTTATCTAATTCAGGGAATTCAAGCTCTAAAGTAGAGATTAACCCTCTGAGTCTAACCTCACTATACATGTTTTATCCTACTAATATGTCGATTCAATAGTCTAAACTCTGGATACGTGAACGAACGCTATCATAATCCCTAGGCAAATATCTATCACTCGATGCAATACTTGTTCTATTTATTGAATTATTTCCACGTTAGAATCTCATATCTCTATGCGAATCAAAACTCTAAGTTCATTCAATGGAGCGGTCAACAAGATCAAACGCATTAAAAATAATTCAATAAACCGCATGGAATAAATAAATCCACAAAGTCTTGAATTAAAAACCAAAGATCCCTACATAGCAAATCCCTAACCTACAGGAAAGTAACTACTCGTTAAACATCGAGACATCAGGATTCATATCAACAATACAAAACATCGTAAAATAGAAGAAATGAAGAATGCTTAGTCGATTTTCCAACTTCGTAATCTCCGTCTTCTACTCCAATCTCTTGTTTCTTGACTTAGAGGCTAATCCTAGTTATTTTCTCTTTCTTTTGAAAAAAATTGGAAGATTTTCGGAATTTAAATGACCCGATCGTATCAGTAATAAGTGACACAATCGTGTCACATCGCAGTTTTGACGGGTTTCACGAATTTGCTCATAATTTTGTGCTCCAATATCAAATTTGGGTGTCTTGGTGTCTATCGTAGATATCAAAAAGAGATTTCCAATGATATATATAATACATGATTTGGACTCACTGAGTGAATATTATTGGACTTGTAAGATCTGACTTTTCTAAGTTTCACGTTTTTTCCGAAACAACTCCAAATATTTCCGGTTCGTCTGTGATATTTCGCAATCCGTATATTCCACTCCTTTTCCTTTTGTTCTCTTTATGTGTAAATTCCTATTTAAACACCAAAAAACTGTTATGTGTGTATATATCATTTATTATATGTATAATATGTCAATATAGATTATTTTTAACATACGCCATTTATTAGCTTATGGGTGTATATAGGTTCAATGTATTGAAGTTTAAAGGAAATTGTATTGAGAAAGCAACCTCTAATTATCTGTAAATGTCCTGAACATTTTCTTTTCTCAGTACAGTAATTCAATCACATTACATCAAAAAAAAAGTCTATACATAACCATTCAAATATGAAAAAAAAAAGTTTATGTTTATGACCATGGCATTAACTAATTTACATATTACCACATATATATAGTTGAATAGAAAGACGTAAAATAGAAAGTTCCAAAAGCAATAAATGCTAACATAAATGGCCATAGATATGCACGTAATTACAAAATCTTACCATATTAAACCTCCCGAATGTACTTTATATATCCGCCCGTCTCTCTTTGCATGGAACATTAAATCCACATCACCAAAATCAACAAACCATAGGCAATGGCTCCCTCTTTCTTCAACTTATCCCAACTCCAAACCCAGCAAAAGATTCCCGCAGGTTTCGTATGGCCGGATAGTGACGTCATCCCTTCCGAGGATGTCCTCAACCTCCCCGTGATTGATCTAGCCGGGTTCATGGCCGGCGACGAGGCCGCAACTAAAGCCGCCGCTGCTGCGACCAGGGCGGCCTGCGAGGAGTTCGGGGCGTTCCAGGTGGTGAACCACGGCGTTGACTGGGGCTTGGCCGAGAGAGTGCAGAATCTGGCGGATTGGTTCTTTGGGCTTCCGGAGAACGTGAAGCTTAGGGCTGAGAAGATTCCGGGGACGGTGCCGGGGTATTCTGGGGCCCACGGGGAGAGATTCTCGTCAACGCTCTCGTGGAAGGAGATGATGACTTTTGTCTTCTCTGAGGGCTCCACTCCGGTCGTCGAGGACTTTGTTAGATCGACGCTTGGAAAGGAATTTGAGGAGATGGGGTAACACGTGCATACCATGCATATAAACATCCATGCATGTATATCCTTAATCTATACGCGTTTGCATGTAACCGCTAATGCATATATACGCTTTGATTTCAATTTCATTACTAAGGATTCCATTTTTATTTGGGTTGGTTCAGAAAGGTGTACCAAAAGTACTGCGAGGCTGTGAACGGTCTATGCCTAGAGTTGATGGAGCTTCTTGGGATAAGCCTAGGCCTCGAGGATCGGAACTATTACCGGAAATTCTTCGAAGACGGTCGGTCCATCTTGAGGTGCAACTATTACCGGCCTTGTAATGAGCCCGACCGGACACTTGGAACCGGCCCTCACTGTGACCCCACCAGCCTAACCATTCTCCTCCAAGACCACGTCCCTGGCCTCGACGTCTTTTCCAAGGGCAAGTGGTGGTCTGTCCGCCCTTGCCCCAAGGCTTTTGTCATCAACATTGGCGACACATTCACGGCACGTATATAGTATCCATATATTATACGATTAATCTCTGGATCTTGATATTGCTTGATTTAACAACGAGTTTTGTACATAAATAGGCATTATCGAATGGAAAGTACAAGAGCTGTCTGCACAGGGCGGTGGTGAGTAAAGACGAGAAGAGAAGGTCGTTCGCATTCTTCCTTTGTCCGAGGGACGACAAGCTCGTAATGCCACCAATGGAACTTATCTCTGGTGATTCTGATGAAGAAGCTTATAGAAGGTACCCCGACTTCACATGGTCCGACCTCCTCAGGTTCACTCAAAGCAGCTATCGGGTCGACGAGTCGACTCTCGACAACTTCATCTCCTGGTTCACTACTTCTTCGGCTAAAAATCCTGTTTACAAGGATCAAAAGTGATGGTTAAGAAATATTAGTTGAATAAAAGTTAAGCATATGTGCGTAACTTTTGTTACTGAGACTATCAAAGAGAATTTCATAATAATCCATGAAGTGTTGAGTTACTCTCATGTGAACAAAATTTGGACGAGAAAAAATTGTTCTTCAAAGTTAGTCATCTCTTTCACCTAATAATTAATAATTAAGTCATTTTTTTTCGAACCTTTGAAATCATTTTGTTTGAAAATTTGCAATTATATTTGTTGAATAAATCGGTGTTAGAATTTTATAAATAGAGAGATTTGGATGTGAAAATCAATTACAACAAAAGAAAAAAATACAAAGGAGAGACAAAGGGAGAAAAAAAGAAGAAAACAGTTGTGTACATTTTGATCAAATGATCTATTGTTATCGATCTTTTATCCTATCCGCCTAAAATTTTATTCTTTTTGTAACGGTTGGAATTTGGTTTCACCGGTTAGAAATTAAAAAACAAAGGTTTTACCGAAACTATTCGTCTAAAACACCAAATTGCGACATGTCTGATTATTATGAACATCATATGATGGATTCTTCTTCGATTGAGGTAAAAATTAATATTAATATGCTCGTTCTAGACCCTTAATTCTTTGATTAGTGGAATGTTGCATTCATTACCGTTATCAGAATCTATGAGGTTGACTTGTTATCTAAATTACAATTTGTTAAATTGTGCTCTCTAATGTGGTGTATTGAAGTTAGAATATTGACGTGTGTATTCTATAACCTCAATTGTGTTTCTTGTATATGAGAGGTTGTTGTGTGAACTTTGTAATCCAGTTATAGTGGATTTTTAGGTGGATTATGGTCCCATGATTTTTCTTCTTTCCACGTTAAAAATCGTTCTCTTTTGATTTCGGTATCGTTGCACTAAATATTATCGTCTCTACATGTTTATACAAGTAAGGAGTTTGTTTTACTGATTCGTGATAAGCGATCGAAGTAATAGAAAATCCCTAACAAGTGGTATTAGAGTATTTTGGTTGTTTGTGTTGGGTTTTGGGCTACGGATTCCTAGCATGCGATCATATCGATCTAGGGTTTGGTTTACTAGGTTTCATGCAGCGGAAAAATAATCTAAACCTAGTCAAACGTCACACGCAACCAAAATAATCCGTAAAATCCCGTTTAATCGTGTATATCACCGTAGGAATCGAATACTTACCTCTTTCCTGAAGATCTGAAAGTAGCAATCGATCCAGGACCTGTTTTAATCACCAAGAGCTGAAAGTACAGCTCCTCTACACGTATCCACACCGACGGGAAGGATTCCAAACGCTTTTGGAACTGATCTGCTAGGATCTGTGAAGTGAATAGGGTTTTCAAGACTTGGGATCGAATCCCGGGAACTAGAACCTCAAAAGAAACGATTTTCTTTTGTTCTAGATCTGTCTTAGGGTTCTGTAAGTCAATTTCTCATCTTAGGACGGCGTCCAACACCTCCATATAAGATTAGAAACCCTAATCCTTGTGAAAAGAGACTTTTTCCGAGTATTGACTCGGTCCGAGTCAAAACTTTGACTCGACCGAGTCAAA